TCCTGGAATGTTGCCAGAAGTGTCTGGTGGCTGGGCTTTGATCCTGCACGGGAGACGACGCCTGTATGAGGATGGGAGGATTTCACTGGGGTGAATGGTGAAGGGATAAGTTAATTAGAGTGTAAAACACAGGGTTTAGGATTTCTGTACAGGGGGGTCTAAAGAAGTAAGATGGAGGAATTGGGGCGTATCCTGTCCTTCTTCTTCTTCTTCTTGACCTCCATCTTCTGTGGTGATGGTGGCACTTTGGGATTGGTTATTACAAAAAGTGCACCGGTCAATAAGGGTAAAAGGTATTGGAAAGAATAGGTAAATATTGTGTACGTAATTTTGAGTATAAAGATAAGTGACCGCCCCGGGGGCTCGCAGTGTGCACGTGTCTGGCTTGCTGTGCGGACCTCTGTCGGGCAGAGAGAAAAATCTTTTAGATAAACAACCAATAAATACTGAAGTCCGAGAAAGACCTGAAGCCTCTTCTCGTCCTTTGAAGCGCGGGCTGCCCAAGGCCATCTCCGAGCCTTTCCAGGCCATAAAACAGCCGAGAAAAGGGACAGGTGCTTTATTAAGGGCCCGGGGAGCCGGTGGACTAACGTCCCAAGCCCGAGCCCCCAATTTCACGTGTGGGTGCTTCCCTTTTTTGTACATGTGATTCACAACAAAGTCTCCAAGAAACAGTTCCCAGTTCCCCTTGCCTAGTCACAGTCCCCTTGTGATACATTCCTTGGTTCACAAACAAGATCCTAAATCTTCTGCTTATCTTATTCTAAGACCATTGTACGCTGCCTCCAGACAGGTTAGCATTCTTACTTTCCTGCACTAGTTTAAATATTTATTAAATCCCTAAGACTACCTGCTAGGTTACACACAAAACCCAACGCACACACACTATCAACGGCTACAAAACCGCTTTTAACAAACCAATTCACGCACAACTCACTATAATTAAACGTTTTGCTTAATTTCATTTCTTTTCCAACGTGTCCCAATTCTTTATTTTCCTTTCCAGGAAGGAATTTCCCCCAATATCCCGCCTGATATTGCGGATATTCCGTTCCCTGTGTCCTGTCCCCGATCCCGTGAGGAGTTTGTCCCACCAGGAGCGCTCACCTCGATTTCCATGTGCACGCACGTGGCCAGCCCCTCCCTGGCGATGGACTCCAGCGTGCCCCGCGCCAGCCCGTACCTGTGCCCGCTGTATTTGTAGGTGGCCAGGAATCTGCCCTGGGATTCAGAGCAAGGAGAATGGCAAAGGAATGTCCCAAAGGGAATTCATCAAATAAATGGATCGCGTTGGGGTGCCCTGATTTGTCTCACTACAAAGGTTCTTCTTGTTTAAAGCGGTGTTAATGAGGGTAATGAGAGCCCAAAATTGGCATTAATGAGCCCAAAATCAGCGTTAATGAGGTCACTGAGAGCCCAAAATCAGAGTTAATGAGCTCAAAACCAGGATTAATGAGGGCACTGAGAGCCCAAGATCAGCATTAATGAGGGTAATGAGAGCCCAAAATTAGCGTTAATGAGCCCAAAATCAGCATTAATGAGGGCAATGAGAGGTTAATGAGAGAGCCCAAAATCAGTCTTGAGGGCACTGATAGGCCAAAATCAGCATTAATGAGAGAGCCCAAAATCAGTGTTAATGAGCCCAAAATCAGCGTTAATGAGGGCAATGAGAGCCCAAAATCAGCATTAATGAGAGAGCCCAAAATCAGTGTTAATGAGCCCAAAATCAGCGTTAATGAGGGCAATGAGAGCCCAAAATTAGCATTAATGAGGGCAATGGGAGCCCAAAATCAGCATTAATGAGGGCAATGGGAGCCCAAAATCAGCGTTAATGAGAGCTCAAAATCAGGATTAATGAGGGAACTGAGAGCCCAAAATCAGCATTAATGAGAGTCCAAAATTAGCATTAATGAGAGAGCCCAAAATCAGCATTAATAAGGGCAATGGGAGGTTAATGAGAGAGTCCAAAATCAGTGTTGAGGGCACTGATAGGCCAAAATCAGCATTAATGAGAGAGCCCAAAATCAATGTTAATGAGCCCAAAATCAGCGTTAATGAGGGCAATGAGAGCCCAAAATCAGCATTAATGAGGGCAATGGGAGCCCAAAATCAGCATTAATGAGGGCAATGGGAGCCCAAAATCAGCGTTAATGAGAGTTCAAAATCAGGATTAATGAGGGAACTGAGAGCCCAAAATCAGCATTAATGAGAGTCCAAAATTAGCATTAATGAGAGAGCCCAAAATCAGCATCAATAAGGGCAATGGGAGGTTAATGAGAGAGTCCAAAATCAGTGTTGAGGGCACTGATAGGCCAAAATCAGCATTAATGAGAGAGCCCAAAATCAATGTTAATGAGCCCAAAATCAGCGTTAATGAGGGCAATGAGAGCCCAAAACTGGCATGAATGAGCCCAAAATCAGCGTTAATGAGCCCAAAATCAATATTAATGAGGGCAATGAGAGCCTAAAATCAGTGTTAATGAGAGAACCTGAAATCAGTGTTAATGAGGGCATTGAGAGGTTAATGAGCCCAAAATCAGCATTAACGAGAGCCCAAAATCAGTGTTAATGAGACAAAATCAGCATTAATGAGGTCACTGAGTGCCGAAAATCAGCATTAATGAGGGCAATGGGAGGTTAATGAGAGAGCCCAAAATCAGCGTTAATGAGAGCCCAAAATCAGCGTTAATGAGAGAACCCAAAATCAGCATTAATGAGGGCAATGGGAGGTTAATGAGAGAGCCCAAAATCAGTGTTGAGGGCAATGAGAGCCCAAAATTGGCATTAATGAGCCCAAAATCAGCGTTAATGAGCCCAAAATCAGTATTAATGAGGGCAATGAGAGCCCAAAATCAGTGTTAATGAGACAAAATCAGCATTAATGAAGGCACTGAGTGCCGAAAATCAGCATTAATGAGGGCAATGAGAGGTTAATGAGAGAGCCCAAAATCAGCGTTAATGAGAGCCCAAAACCAGCATTCATGAGGGCTATGAGAGCCCAAAATCAGTGTTAACTAAGCATAAAATAAATAATATATTAAAGATATAAATACATAAAAATAAAAATATATTAAACACATATAAAGTATATAAATATATAAATAAAAATATATATAATATATACAATATATATATTTATATATAAATATATAAATAAAACATATAATATAGATTAATATATAAAAATATATATTATTTATGTTATATATGTATATATAACATGTATCACATATATAACATATATAACATATATATTTTAATATATTATCTATATATTTTATAGATATATTATATATTTTATATATTTATATATTATATATTATATATTATATATTATATATTATATATCATACATTATATATTATATTTTATATATATTTATATTATATAATTTTGGACATTATATATTTTATATTTCATATATTATATATTTTATCTATTATGTACATATGAAAACAATATAGAAATAAATAAATAAAATAAAATATATAAATGTATAAATATATAAATATAAATAAAATATAATATATATTAAAATATAGAATATTACATATATTATATTATATTATATTATATTATATAAAATACATAAATATTTAATTATAAATACAACATAAATAATATATTTTAAAAAACAGAACATGTATAATATATAATTATATAAATATATAAATATGTAAATATATAAATGTATATTAAATATATAGATACACATAAAGATATAAGTATATATTAAATTTATAAATACATATAAAGATATAAAAAGAAATCAGGCTTGGGCAGAGAGTTGAGTTCAGTGGGTGAGCAGCCAAAGCCCCAGGGCAGGAGTCAGGTACTCACCGCTTTCACCATTTTGTCAAATTCTTCTTGAGAAATGAAATGATAATCCAGCCTGTTTTCTTCCCCGAAATAAGCTTTCCTGGTGGTGTGGCAGGGCCTGGCAGATAATATAAAAATATATATTAAAATATATATTATATAATAAAATATAAAAATATACAAATATTTCCTTCCCCGAAATAAGCTTTCCTGGTGCTGTGGCAGGGCCTGGCAGACAATATAAATATATATGATAAGATATGATATGATATGATATGATATGATATGATATGATATAAAAATATAAAAATGCGCAAATATTTTCTTCCCCGAAATAAGCTTTCCTGGTGGTGTGGCACTGCCTGGCAGATAATATAAAAATATATATTATAATACATATTATATTATATTATATTATATTATATTATATTACATTACATTACATTATATTACGTTACATTACATTACATTACATTACATTACAATACAATACAATAAAATATAATATAATATAATATAATGTAATATAATAAAATATAATATAATATAATATAATGTAATATAATATATAGAAATATTCAAATATTTTCTTCCCCGAAATAAGCCTTCCTGGTGGTGTGGCAGGGCCTGGCAGATAATATAAAAATATATATTATAACATATTTTATATTATAATATATAAAAATATACAAATATTTTCTTCCCCAAAATAGTCTTTCCTGGTGGTGTGGCAGGGCCTGGCAGATAATATAAAAATATATATTAAAATATATATTATATAATAAAATATAAAAATATACAAATATTTCCTTCCCCGAAATAAGCTTTCCTGGTGCTGTGGCAGGGCCTGGCAGACAATATAAATATATATGATAAGATATGATATGATATGATATGATATGATATGATATGATATAAAAATATAAAAATGCGCAAATATTTTCTTCCCCGAAATAAGCTTTCCTGGTGGTGTGGCACTGCCTGGCAGATAATATAAAAATATATATTATAATACATATTATATTATATTATATTATAATATATTATATTATATTATATTATATTATATTATATTATATTGTGATGTGATGTAATGTAATGTAATGTAATGTACCGTAATATAATGTAATGTAATGTAATGTAATGTAATATAATATAATATAATATAATATAATATAATATAATATATAAAAATATTCAAATATTTTCTTCCCCGAAATAAGCCTTCCTGGTGGTGTGGCAGGGTCTGGCAGATTATAAAAAAATATATATTATAACACATTTTATATTATAATATATAAAAATATACAAATATTTTCTTCCCCAAAATAGTCTTTCCTGGTGGTGTGGTAGGGCCTGGCAGATAATTAAAAAAAAATAAATTATATTATATTATATTATATTATATTATATTATATTACATTATATTATATTATATTACATCATTACATTACATTACATTACATTACATTATACAAATATTTTCTCCCCCAAGATAAGCTTTCCTGGTGCTGTGGCAGGGCAGGGCCTGGCAGATTTATGAGAAAATAAAGAATTAATTTGGTTTCTATCCCTGCAGCACCTCTGGAACAGCAGTGGGGAGTGGGGGAAAGCAGAGAAAATAGAAATAATTTTATTTTAAGCAGCAAAGAAATATGAGAAATGAAAAGAGGCGCAAATCACAGCCCTGAATGGTGGGTGTTTGAAAGATTGATCAATAAATAATACCAATAAATAAATACACCAAAAAAAAAAGAAATTTAACGTGGTGTTTTGGCTGTAAATCCCTTCCCAGCCCAGCATGGCCTGAGCTGGAGCTGTCACAGCGCCTGCGACTCAGAAATTATAAATCCATTTTTCTCTCAGTTCTGTCAGGATTGGGGATGATATAAAATCAAATCCTAAACGTGGAAAAGGAGCTGGGATGAACTGTGGGGTTAAAAATGAGCTGAAAAATCCAATTTTTAAACAGGTGGATATGGGGAGGGGGAAAATGCTGAAAGTGGGGAGGAAATTGGGATAAAGGGAGGGAAGGTAAAAGCTCAGCTACCTCAGCTTCACAGCAGGAGAAAACACTAAAAATCCATATAAAAACCACCAAAACTAATTTAATTAATGCAGGTAGCAATTTAATACTGAAGGATTCAGTAGGTCTGGTTCTGTTTAAAAATCAGATTTTTTTTCCTTGCTTCTGCTTTGCCATTAAAGTGGGAAAAAGGGCTGGGAAAGGAATTCCCTGACATCCCATGGGGATAAACCTCAGCCATCAGGCCAAAACACTAAAAATTCATTAAAAATCCCCCAAATCCCTAACACTTTAAAACCCCCAACAATGCCTAAATAAAACCCCAAAAAAATCCTCCCAAAATTCCCCCGTTAATTAATACAGGTCATTATTAGAACGTGAAGTATTTTGTGGTCTGGGTCTGTTTGAAAATCAGATTTTCCTCCTCTTTTCTGCTTTGCCATTAAAGTGGGATAAAAGGCTGGGAAAGGAATTCCCTGTCATCCCATGAGGATAAACCTCAGCTGACAGCCAAAACCACTGAAAATTCACTTAAAATCCCCCAAAAATCCCCAATTCAAACCCAAAAACATCCCCCCAAAATTCCCAGTTAATTCACACAGGTAACAATTTAATACTGAAGTATTTTGTGGGTCTGGTTCTGTTTGAAAATCAGATTTTTCTCCTCTTTTCTGCTTTGCCATTAAAGTGGGAAAAAAGGCAGGGAAAGGAATTCCCTGAGATCCCATAAGGACAAAATTCAACCACCAGGCCAAAACACCAAAAACTCATTAAAAAACCCCAAAATCCCTGAAAAAACCCCAAAAATCCCACAGTTAATTAATGCAGGTAATAATTTGAGACTGAAATATTCACTGGGCTTGGTTCTGTTTGAAAATCAGATTTTTTTCCTTTTTTCTGTTTTGCCATTAAAATGGGAAAAAAGGCAGGGAAAGGAATTCCCTGAGATCCCATAAGAACAAAATTCATCCACCAGGCCAAAATACTAAAATCCCACCAAAATCCCCTAAAAAAAGATAATTAATGCAGGTAATCATATGAGACTGAAATATTCAGTGAGTCCAGGTCTATTTGAAAATCAGATTTTTCTCCTAAATTCTGCTTTGGGAAAAAAGGCAGGGAAAGGACTTCCCTGTCATCCCATGAGGGCAAACTTCAACCACCAGGCCAAAACACTAAAACCCCCAAAAAATCCCTAAAAAAACCCCAAAAATCCCTAAAAAAACCCCCCAGTTAATTAATGCAGGTAAGAATTTGAAACTGAAGTATTTTGTGGGTCTGGTTCTGTTTGAAAATCAGATTTTTCTCCTCATTTCTGCTTTGCCATTAAAGTGGGAAAAAAGGCAGGGAAAGGAATTCCCTGCCATCCCATAAGGACCAAATTCAACCACCAGGCCAAAACACCAAAAACTCATTAAAAAACCCCAAAATCCCTAAAAAACCCCCAAAAAATCCCTACAAAAACCCCCAAAATCCCACACAGTTAATTAGTGCAGGTAATAATTTGAGACTGAAATATTCACTGGGCTTGGTTCTGTTTGAAAATCAGATTTTTTTCCTTTTTTCTGTTTTGCCATTAAAATGGGGAAAAAGGCAGGGAAAGGAATTCCCTGAGATCCCATTAGAACAAAATTCATCCACCAGGCCAAAATACTAAAATCCCACCAAAATCCCCGAAAAAAAGATAATTAATGCAGGTAAGAATTAGAGACTGAAATATTCAGTGAGTCCAGGTCTATTTGAAAATCAGATTTTTCTCCTAAATTCTGCTTTGGGAAAGAAGGCAGGGAAAGGAATTCCCTGTCATCCCATGAGGGCAAACTTCAACCACCAGGCCAAAACACTAAAACCCCCAAAAAAATCCCTAAAAAAACCCCAAAAAAATCCCTAAAAAAACCCCCAGTTAGTTAATGCAGGTAAAAATTAGAGCCTGAAATATTCAGTGGGTCAGAGTCTGTTTGAAAATCAGATTTTTCTCCTCTTTTCTGCTTTGCCATTAAAGTGGGAAAAAAGGCTGGGAAAGGAATTCCCTGAGATCCCATAAGAACAAAATTCAACCACCAGGCCAAAACACTAAAAACCCACTAAAAACCCCCCAAAAATCCCTAAAAACCCCCCAAATTTTCCCCCAAAACCACAGCTAATTAATGCAGGTAACAGGGCCTGAAATATTTATGGGCTCTTGTTCTGTTTGAAAATCAGATTTTCCTCCTCTTTTCTGCTTTGCCATTAAAGTGGGAAAAAAGGGCTGGGAAAGGAATTCCCTGTTAACCCATGAAGATAAACCTCAGCTGCCAAGCAAAACCACTAAAAATTCACTTAAAACCCCCCAAAAATGCCTAAATAAAACTCCAAAAAAATCCTCCCAAAATTCCCCCGTTAATTAATACAGGTCATAATTAGAACCTGAAGTATTTTGTGGTCTGGGTCTGTTTGAAAATCAGATTTTTCTCCTCTTTTCTGCTTTGCCATTAAAGTGGGAAAAAAGGCTGGGAAAGGAATTCCCTGAGATCCCATAAGAACAAAATTCAACCACCAGGGTGAAGGCCCCAAACCACATCAAAACTCTTGATTTTTACCTGATTTCCAAAAAAACCCCACAAACCAAACCAGCACCAATTCCAATCTTGATCCTTTGGTGTTTTTATTACCTCAGGGCCAGAACTTACCCAAATCTGAAGAAAGTTTTGAATTGTCTGCAGATTTTGAGGGCGAGTTGTCTCCTCCCGCCGGCCACGGGGCCCAGCAGCACCAGCAAGGGGTAGGGATCCTCAAAAGTGGGCAAAGTGCTGCAAAAATAGGAAATAATTCCCATTAATTCACCCAAAAAATCAAATTTCAGCAGCTTCTCAAGCAAGGTTGGAGCATCAAATCCGTGCCAGGATAATCCATTCCCAGCCTGCAATGCCATGGCTGGAAACATTCAGGACTCAAAACTCCACATCCACATATTCAGGGAGAAAGCAGGAAGCTGCAGAGTAGCAAAAATTCCATTTTTCAGGGGAGAAACGAGACTGGGAGGAGTCACCTGGGAACGGTGACATTGGAAAAAGAGCATCCCCCTGCCTGTCCCTTCCATGATTTCCATGGAATCATCTCCTCCTTCCAATAAAACACCGAAATTTCCCTTTATGAACACGAAATGCGCCCCAAAACCCCCAAATAAAATCATTTGACCCCCACAGGATGCCAGCAGTGAGGAGAGAAGGAGCTGGCAGAAAGGGAAGGAGAAATTTTCCAGCTCTCTGCTGCCTCCAGGGATTACAGCGACCTGAGTGGGTCGCTGGTGGTGAGAGAGAGACGGGAATCTTGTTTCTTGATCAGAAGGCTGGATTTATTGATATATGATATATAATACATTATAACTATACTAAATAGGAAAAATAAAGAGAGAAGTTTGCAGATGCTAGCTAGGCTAAGAATCGAAAAGAAAGAATCTCCAACAAAGTTGTGTCCAGGGACTCTGTCCCTAGCTTGCACTTTGTGATTGGTCTCCAATTATAAACATGGAACATGAGCCAATCAAGGTGCCCCTGTTGCATTCCACAGCAGCTGATAATAATTGTTTACGTTCTCTTTCTGAGGCCCTCAGCTTCCCAGAAAATGCAGAAATCTGAAAGAAAGGATTTCTGTGGAAAAATGTCTGCGACATCCAGGGATTTTCCCTTTGGGCAAGGGGAGGAACTCTGGATCTCCCATTTGTGGTGCCGATGCCCATCTGCTCCAACAGCTTGAGGGAAGGGATGGAGCCATGGCCAGTCTGTCTCAGAATTTAGAGGTGAGTGAGTGTTGGAATCCATAAGGTTAGAGGATTTTTAAGAAATGGTTAAAAAAAAGTATGTAGGACTTGGATTGGAGTTTTGTTAGCATTGCAGAAAAGTTTCCCATGCAAGCAGAAATGTTTCCCAAGCAGTAGACGTGACAAACAACAACAGGCCTCTGTAGAATTGGCTTCAGGATGGCAACAAGGTTATTTAATGTATATCTTCAGAAGATTAGTATGAATAGAACTCTATTCTTTGTCTCTTATGAACCAGTCTTTGTTTTAGCTACCATTACGTATGTTTTATAAGATTGGATAGAATGCTTGTCAATACGTGTTTTCTGCGTGTGATTGGCTGAAATCTAGACTGAGATGATTTTATGTATTGCTGTATGAGCCCCCCTGGAGGAGACATTTTGGGGTGGATCAGTGAGCTGTCATGTCTCCTTTTTGTATTCTGAGACTGATGTGCTGGAAATAAAAGCAAAAATCTCTTCACTGCTCTGGTTCCAATGTTGTCCATACTGGACATTTTGCCGCGGCCTAGTGGGTTCCTTTTTTAAGACGTGGGTTCCTGACACAATTGGACTTATATCTACCCATCCCTCAACAAGTGAGGAGCTTTTTTCCATCATCAATTTGAACCAAACCAGCTTTGCCTCCTTTCCAGGCTGCCGACAGAATCCTGCAGGAGTTCTCTGTCTCTTTCTCGGCTGTTTTTGATGGCCTGGAAAGGCTCGGGATGGCCTTGGGACAGCCCGCGCTCCAAAGGACAAGAAGAGTCTTCAAGTTTTTTCTCGGTCTTCAGTGTTTATTAGTTTCTATCTACAAGATTTTCTCTCGGCCCGACAGAGGTCCGCACAGCACGCCAGCCATGAGCACACTGAGAGCCCTCGGGGCGGTCACTTATCCCTAAACTACGTACAGGATATTTACCTATTTTCCCCAATACCTTTCACCCTTATTGATAGGTGCACTTTCAGTAAGGACCAATCCTAAAGTGCCACCACCACCACAGAAGATGGAGGCCAAGAAGAAGAAGAAGGAGGACAGGACACGCCCCAATTCCTCCATCTTGTTTCTCTAGACCCCCCTGTACCGAGATTCTAAAACCTGTGTTTCACTCTATAATTAATCTATCCCTCCATGGTCATTTCCAACCCTTCAGGTGGATCTCCATGGTCACTCCCAACCCTTGAGGTCGATCTGTGTTTCACACTATAATTAACCCATCCCTTCACCATTTATCCCCGTGGGATCCTCCCATCCTCATACAGATGTTGTTTCCCGTGCAGGATCAAAGTCCAACCACCAAACACTTCTGGCAACGTTCCAGGACTTCTGAGCCCCCCAAGGGTGGTCTCGGTGACTCTGCACATCAGGAATGCTGTGCTGAGATCCCACAGTTCTCCTCGGGAAAAACGTCCCTCAGAAGGTGACAAAACCCTGATTTACCTGAGCGAGGAGCAGCTGGGACAGGAACTCACCTGTTGAGGACGCTCTGGGGCTGCAGAGAGTGGTACAAAAGCTGAGTCCTGTGGTCCTCAGCGGCCACGACGTCGGGAGGAGGAGCCTCCTTGTTCACAGCAGCCACCTGGGGCCAAATAAAAATTAGATAATTTAGGGAGAGGGAAAAGGAAGGGGAGGGAGAGGGAATTGTTAACAGGCGGAAAAGTCTCGGCTGATCATCGGGAATGAGGATGGGGTTGGGTGGGGAAGGGTCAGGATTTGGGCTGGGCTTGGCTGGGAGGAGAAATCTGGGAATTAAAGGATGATTTGGGGGATGGATGGATGATGGATGGATGGATGGATGGATGGATGGATGGATGATAGGGGAATGATGGATGGATGATGGATGGGGGATGGATGGATGGATGGATGGATGGATGGATGGATGGATGGATGGATGGATGGATGATGGATGGGGGATGGATGATGGATGGATGGATTATGGATGGATGGATGGATGGATGGATGGATGGATGGATGGATGGATGATAGGTGAATGATGGATGGATGATGGATAAGGGATGGATGGATGGATGGATGGATGGATGGATGGATGGATGGATGATGGATGGGGGATGGATGATGGATGGATGGATTATGGATGGATGGATGATGGATGGATGGATGATGGATGGATGGATGGATGGATGGATGGATGGATGATGGATGGATGATGGATGGATGAATGATGGATGGATGGATGGATGGATGGATGGATGATGGATGGATGGATGGATGGATGGATGGATGAGGGATGGATGGATGGATGGATGGATGGCAGCCAGACACAGCTCACCATCTTTAATGTAGTCAACCTTTCCCTGAAGCAAACAGGATGCCACATAGGATGCAAAGGCAGGTTTTAATTATCCATTAATTTGCATCCTCCCAGTGCTGGTGCAAGCGGCCAAACCCAAACCCCTGGGAATTGAAGCCACTCGTTTTTTACAGGATGGGCATGAACAAAGTGAGCAAACTCCTGGCAGTGCACTCCTGCTTTGCTGGGAGGGAGAGCCCTCAGACACCAAGGATTCCCTCACCCATCCCGCTGACCACTAATGACTCGTGTGATTTGGGGGTTGTCAATGCCACACACTCAGAAATTCAGGTTAAGAACGACTGAGGCGATTCCAATGGGGCACGAGATATAAAATTTCCACTGTGAGACCAACCAGCCTTTGGAACAATCAACAGGAGGTTGGACCAAGCTGGGATGGTGGGAGGTGTCCCATGGCAGGGGTGGGACTGGATGGGCTTTGAGGTCCCTTCCAACCCAAACCATCCTGGATTCCGTGAGAATTTCCCCATGGAAATAACTGGTGGATTCACCAATTGGTGGATTCAATGGATTCAATTTTTCAATAATTCCTCAAATATCATAACACAGCTGCAATAATAATGATAATTATGATAATGATAATAATGATAATGATAATAATGATAATGATAATGATAATGATAATGATAATAATAATAATAATATATTTCTAGTGTATTCCATCAGATCATGTGGAAAAATTTTCCAAGAATTCCTCAAATATCACAACACAGCTGCAGAGCAGCAAAAATTCCATTTTTTTCAGAGGAGAAACGAGACTGGGAGGAGTCACCTGGGAATGGTGAGGCTGGAAAAAGAGCATCCCCCTGCTTGTCCCTTCCATGATTTCCATGGAATCATCTCCTCCTTCCAATAAAACACCGAAATTTCCCTTTTTGGACACAAAACGTGCCCCAAAAGCACCTGCAGCCACCCAATCCCAGCTGAGGCACCACAGCAGGGAAAGGTTCCCAACCCAGGCAGGATTTTGGGGAGGAGGTTTGCTGCAACTGCAAGCCTGGATTTTGTAGCATTTATTTAGAAAATTCTTAGAATGAAATGATCTTTGCTCACCTTTTCTTCCACTGTGACCTTTTTCAGATCCAGATCTGTGACTTGGAGCAGCATGAAAATCGCTGAGAGCCAATAACTGCCTTTTTCCTGAGGGGAAAAATTTCCATTTTGTCAAAAAAATACTAAATTTCATCCAGCCTATATTGAATTCCAATCAGGTAAAATTCAATTTGTGTTAATAAATTGCAAAATAAAAGGTTTTTTACCCTGATGGGTGTCAAGACATTGCCCAAACTGAGTTGTTCAAAAGTTTGTAACCACAATATTCAAAAGGCCAAGATGGGGATTTAAAAATGGAAAGGGATTTGATCAGACTTTGCTGAGGAGAAGGAAAAGCCTTTCAGATTATGGAAAATAAGGAATAATCTATTTCAGGTATTTTTCCTGCTAATTTTATTGTGGGCCATGACAGAACAGACTCATAAAAGCCAATAAATACCTGGCAATTACAAGAAAAAATTAATAACTCTTAATATTTTTCTTCTTTCTGGCATTGGGAATGAGCGTAAAATTCACACAAAATTTAGGAATCACAAGGCTTGGGACAGAATTATCTTTGATCACTCAGTAGAAATGACCTGCCCACTTCTAGAGACAGAAACTGAGGCTAAAAGGATTCAAAGCATCAGGTTTAGGTTCTCATTTTTGGCTCTTTCTTACCTGCAAAGGGTTTTTTAGAAGATTTAAATCCCTCAGGAGAGGCAGATCCTCAATCCATTTGAGCTCGCTCAGCTCAGCCACCTGAGCAGGGACAGGAACAGAGCACAAATCAGAACCCAGGAGAGCCAGGCAGGTGTCTCTTTCTCGGCTGTTTTGATGGCCTGGAAAGGCTCGGGATGGCCTTGGGACAGCCCGCGCTCCACAGGACGAAAGGAGTCTTCAGGTTTTGTCTCGGTCTTCAGTGTTTATTAGTTTTTATCTACAAGATTTTCTCCCGGCCCGACAGAGGTCCGCACAGCACGCCGGCCATGAGCACACCGAGAGCCCTCGGGGCGGTCACTGATCTTTATACCCTAAACTACGTGTAGGATATTTACCTTTTCTCCCCAATACCTTTCACCCTCATTGACAACTGCACTTTCAGTAAGAACCAATCCCAAAGTGCCACCACCACCACAGAAGATGGAGGCCAAGAAGAAGAAGGACAGGACACGCCCCAATTCCTCCATCTTGTCCCCTTAGAACCCCCCTGTACTGAAATTCTAAAACCCGTGTTTCCCTCTATAATTAACCTATCCCTCCATGGTCATTTCCAACCCTTCAGGTGGATCTCCATGGTCACTCCCAGCCCTTGAGGTGGATCTGTGTTTCACACTATAATTAACCTATCCCCGTGGATATAATTCACCATTTATCCCCGTGGGATCCTCCCATCCTCACACAGGTGTTGTTTCCCTTGCAGGATCAAAGTCCAACCACCAAACACTTCTGGCAACGTTCCAGGACCTCCGAGCCCCTCAAGAGTTATCTCGGTGACTGCACCTCAGTCCTGAGGCCCTGAGATCCCACAGCAAGGAAAATGAACATTTTAATGCCTCCTCCTCAAATCTGGGCATTAAAAAAAAAATTTTAAACCACAAAAGGGGTTTACACGTTAACTGTGAGGCACTTCCAGACAAAAGGAGATGAGTTGGCTGTTAGCTGGAGCAGCAGGAAAATCCACACTGCAATTTCCAAGCACCTCCATTTCCCAGCTCTTTCAAATGTCAAGCCCTGACACATTTGGCTTTTTATGTGCTGATGTGCTTGAGTGAGGCAATTCTGCACGTAAATTCGTGCTCTGGCTGGGTGGTTTAAAAATAAAATCCTTCTAAAAGTTTCTTTTCACTGAAGTTCAAGGTCATCCGACACATCCAAGGAGAAGAATCCTGGTCCTATTTTAAAGAAGGATAACCAAGGACTTGGAAACCAAAATCCTGGTCCTTTTTAAACCAAAATCCTGGTCCTTTTTAACCAAGGATTTTTAAACCAAAATCCTGGTCCTTTTTAACCAAGGATTTTTAAACCCAAATCCTGGTCCTTTTTTAACCGAGGATAACAAAGGACTTTGAAACCAAAATCCCGATTCTTCCTTAACCAAGGATAACCAAGGACTTTGAAACCAAAATCCTGGTCCTTTTTAAACCAAAATCCTGGTCCTTTTTAACCAAGGATTTTTTAAACCAAAGTCCTGGCCCTTTTTTAACCAAAATCCTGGCTCTTTTTTAACTGAGGATAACCAAGGACTTTGAAACCAAAATCCTGGTCCTTTTTAAATCAAAATCCTGGCCCTTTTCTAACCAAAAATCCTTTTTTAACCAAGGATAACCAAGGACTTTTAAACCAAAATCTTGGTCCTTTTTTAACCGAGGATAACAAAGGACTTTGAAACCAAAATCCTGGTCCTTTTTTAACCAAAATCCTGATCCTTTTTTTAACCAAAATCCTGGTCCTTTTTTAACCAAAAATCCTTTTTATACCAAGGATAACCAAGGACTTTTTAACCAAAATCCTGGTCCTTTTTTAACCCTTTTTAAACCAAGGATAACCAAGGACTTTTTTAACCAAGTACATCCTACAGAACTTGGTTAAAAAAGTCCTTGGTTATCCTTGGTTAAAAAAGGAGCAGGAATTTTGTCCTTGGATGTGTCCAGAGGGATAAATGAGGGAATCCAGAGGCTCCAGCCTGTTTGGGGTCTCAGCTGTGCACAAAGGAAAGCTGGGCACTCATTAATGGGGTTAATCAAGGTTTGTGTGGCCCCTGGGCACTCATTAATGGGGTTAATCAAGGTTTGTGTGGCCCAAACCAACCTGGGTTGGTTTTCCTGCTGAAAAGTGGGATCAGGGAATCATTGTGGAATGGGTTGGGTTGGGAGGACCCTCAAACCTTCAAACCCATCCATGCCATGGGCAGGGACATCTCCCACTGTCCCAGGGGGCTCCAGCCTGGCCTGGGACACTGCCAGGGCTCCAGGGCTGCTCTGGGAATTCCAGCCCCAAATCCAATCTCAACCTCTCCTCTTTTACTGCAGAACCATTCCCTTTTCTCCAGTCTGTTGTTTTTCCATGTAAAAATCCTCTCTCCATCTCCGTCACAGCCCCTTTTAAATCCTGAAAGCCCAACTGAACCTAAAACCTCCAAATTCTCCATAATTTACACTCAATCCTTTTGAAGTCCCTAAAAACATAAACCTCAACCTAAGCCTGCTCTAAATTCACTTTGAGATGAGAATAACCCCATTCAGAACAGTTTTGGTGAAGTTAAATGTGATTTAAGTGGATTTCTTCAATAAATCCCAGAATTCCAGCCATCAACAATTGGAAATCATTGAATATTTACAAACTACACATTTTCAGCTGAACCTGTTGTGCCCATTTTGTAAAAAAACCAAGAATTTAAGATCATTCTGAGTGGTTGTGAGCTGAACTAACTCCCTGCGTTAATTAATTAAATCTCCTCTTTAAATTACCCTTCAGAAGGCAACATTAAAAAAATAAAAAGTTCAAAATAACATCCAAAAAACTCAGTGAACAGTTTCAATGACATCATTCAAAGAGGCAACTTTTGATGAGGTAAAATCAAGAGTTTTTCCTGTGCTGTAAAGAACAGTGGGAAATAAATAAGGCACTGGAAGTGGTGTTATTAATGTTAATAACAAGCACACCATTAGAGAGTTTCCTGTCTGCTGCAATTGAGGCACCTTTAAATGTCAGGCAGAACAAAAAAAACGCACAGTGACTTGAATTAAATCCACTTGCAAGGAGAGAAAAATGACAGAAAATGTTCCACCGCTGCTTTGTATTTTTGTTTCCTTAGATTATCTTCTTTTTTTTCACACGTCTTTGACGTCAAAGTGATTCATGAATTGATTTTTGTTTTTTTTTTTTTGCTTAAGGATGCTGGAAGATCAATATCAAAATTATTGTGGATATTTGGCTTGGCATTCAAAATTCAAAAGAGTTGGATGGTGCCATTGTGTTTGCAGCACAGAAAATTGTGCTGCATGACAAAATCCACTTTTTAGGAGTTTTTTTTTTTTTGCAGTTCTGCTTTGCAGGAAGTTTCCAGAAGAATCTGTGGTCATAAAATTGGGCTGGGAGGTATTAGCAGCCACCCCTGAGGCCTGGCAAGTAAAGATATTTTGGAATAATTGAGGTGGAAAATCTGCAAACTCATCCCTGCCTGACCCAATCCTCAGTGTGTGACAGCACCAAAGTGGGACCTGAGCGAAGAGAAAGCCACCTCAGATATTAAATAAGGGCTGAGAGGACACCAGGAACCAACGTGGGAAACAGCAAAAATAAAATAATTCAGATTTTCTAATCGTTCCTTGCAGTGCTGGAGGAGTTTTGGAGGCCTTCAAGGAATTTGTTGTTGAAAAATGAAATTATTCAGTGCTGTTGGAAGGAGGTGAGCCCAGCCTGGTACCTGGTTGTCCTCCAGGTTGATCACCTCCAGCAGGTCGTGCTCCTCCAGGCCTTGCAGGCTGTTTATTTTGTTGTTGGACAGATCCACACGCTGTAGGTTTTTCAAGCTCTTCAGCCCATCCACCTTCTCAATCTGGTTAAAGCTCTAAGAAAAATGAAAGCAGAGAAATTGCAAATAAACCTCTATGAGAAACAATGTTCCTGAGGGAAAAAAAGGAGTTATTATTTGGATTTGAGGAGTTTTTGTCATGGAGAATACTGTAAAAATAGGCTTTTATGCACTAGCCTCATGCACATCCTGATGTGTTACATTTCTGCAGATATACGTCTATGGAAAACAAAATTTCTGAGGGAAAAAATGGGTTATTTGTGGGATTTGAGGAGTTTTTGCCATGGAGAATCCTGTCACAAAGAGGCCTTTATGCACTAGCCTCATGCACATCCCGATGTGTTATATTTCTGCAGATATACCTTTATAGAAAACAACTCCTTTTTTCCCTCAGGAATGTTGTTTTCCATAAAGGTATATCTGCAGAAATATAACACATCGGGATGTGCATGAGGCTAATGCAGAAAGGCCTATTTGTGAAAGGATTCTCCACAAGAAAAGATCCTCAAATCCCACAAATAACATTCCAAAAGGAAAAAAAGAGAGTTATTTGTTGGATTTTAGGAGTTTTTGTTGTGGAGAATCCTGTAAAAATAGGCTTTTATGTACTAGCCTCATACACATTCTGATGTGTTACATTCCTGCTGATAAACCTTTATGGAAAACAACATTTGTGAGGGAAAAAAAGAATTATTTGTTAGATTTGAGGACTTTTTGTCATGAAGAATCCTGTAAAATATAGGCCTTAATGCATTGGCCTCATGCACACCCTGATATATTTCTGCTGATAAACCTCTATGGAAAACAACATTCCTGAAGGAAAAAAAAAAGAGTTATTTGTTGGATTTGAGGATCCTTTCTCAAATCCAGAAAGGAAAACAACTCCTTTTTTCCCTCAGGAATGGTGTTTTCCATAAAGGCTTATAGCAGAATTTAACACATCAGGGTGTGCATGAGGCTAGTGCATAAAGAGCTATTTGTGACAGGATTCTCCATGACAAAAATTCCGCAAATCCCACAAATAACTGGTTTTTTTTCCCCTCTGGAATGTTATTTGTGGGATTTGAGGATCCTTTCTTGTGGAGGATCCTGTTACATATAGGCCTTTCTGCATTAGCCTCATGCACATCCTGATGTGTTAAATTTCTGCTGGCAAACTTCTATGGAAAACAACATTCATGAGGGAAAAAAAGAATTATTTGTTGGATTTGAGGACTTTTTGTCATGGAAAATCCTGTAAAATATAGGCCTTAATGCATTGGCCTCATGCACATCCCGATGTGTTATATTTCTGCAGATATACCTTTATAGAAAACAACTCCTTTTTTCCCTCAGGAATGTTGTTTTCCATAAAGGTATATCTACAGAAATATAACACATCAGGATGTGCATGAGGCTAATGCATAAAGGCTTATTTGTGACAGGATTCTCCATGAGAAAGGACCCTCAAATCCCACAAATAACATTCCAAAAGGAAAAAAAGAATTATTTGTTGGATTTGAGGACTTTTTGTCATGGAGATTCCTGTAAAATATAGGCCTTAATGCATTGGCCTCATGCACATCCTGATATATTTCTGCTGATAAACCTCTATGGAAAACAACATTTCTGAAGGAAAAAAAAAGTTATTTGTTGGATTTGAGGATCCTTTCTCATGGAGAATCCAGTCACAAATAGGCATTTCTGCATTGGCCTCATGCACATCCCGATCTGCTAGATTTCGGCAGATATACCTTTATGGAAAATAACTCAGTTTTCCCTCAGGAATGTTGTTTTCCATAAAGGCTTATAGCAGAATTTAACACATCAGGATGTGCATGAGGCTAATGCAGAAAGGCCTATTTGTGACAGGATTCTCCATGAGAAAGGATCCTCAAATCCCACAAATAACATTCCAGAGGGGAAAAAAAGAGAGTTCTTTGTTGGATTTGAGGACTTTTTGTCATGGAGATTCCTGTAAAATATAGGCCTTAATGCATTGGCCTCATGCACATCCTGATATATTTCTGCTGATAAACCTCTATGGAAAACAACATTCCTGAAGGAAAAAAACCCCTGTTATTTGTTGGATTTGAGGATCCTTTCTTGTGGAGAATCCAGTAACAAATAGGCATTTCTGCATTGGCCTCATGCACATCCTGATGTGTTACATTTCTGCTGAAAAACCTCTATGGAAAACAACATTCCAGAGGGAAAAAACCCCAGTTATTTGTTGAATTTGAGGATCCTTTCTCATGGAAAATCCTGTAAAAAACAGGCCTTTCTGCATTAGCCTCATGTATACCCTCATATGTTACATTTCTGTAGATATACCTTTATGGAAAACAACTCCTTTTTTCCTCCTGGAATGTTGTTTGTGGGATTTGAGGATCCTTTCTTGTGGAGAATCCTGTAAAAATAGGCCTTTCTGCATTAGCCTCATGCACATCCTGATGTGTTTAATTTCTGCTAATAAACTTCTATGGAAAACAACATTCGTGAGGGAAAAAAAGAATTATTTGTTGGATTTGAGGACTTTTTGTCATGGAAAATCCTGTAAAATATAGGTCTTAATGTATTGGCCTCATGCACATCCTGATATATTTCTGCTGATAAACCTCTATGGAAAACAACATTTCTGAGGGGAAAAAAACCTAGTTATTTGTTGGATTTGAAGATCTTTTCTTGTGGAGAATCCTGTCACAAATAGGCATTTCTGCATTGGCCTCATGCACATCTTGACGTGTTATATTTCAGCTGATATACCTTTATGGAAAACAACATTCCTGAGGGAAAAAAATGAGTTATTTGTTGGATTTGAGAATCCTTTCTCATGGAGAATCCTGTAAAAAACAGGCCTTTCTGCATTAGCCTCATGCACATCCTGATGTGTTACATTCCTGCAGATCTACCTCTATGGAAAACAACATTCCTGAGGGGAAAAGAAAATTATTTATTGGATTTGAGGATCCTTTCTCATGGAGAATCCTGTAAAAAATAGACCTTTCTGCACTAGCCTCATGCACACCCTGCTGTGTCACATTTCTCCTCGTGGAAAAAAGGAATCACCTCTCCCCTGATTAGCTTATCTCCAACTCACCTTGAAGAGACAACAGCAATAAAAAGAGCTCTAATATTTTTTAAAAACTGATGTTGGCCCAAGAACACTCCTGTCACCATCCAGCTCAAAATTTAGAGCACAGAGATGCATGGAAAATTACGGAATATATATACATAAATACACTGAATTTCCCTCTGTAATCATGGCTCCATTTACACTTGTGATTACAGAATAAATAATGAAAAAATTAAGGTGGGATAAAGAGGAGCCAGGCTGGGAGAGCTGGGAATGTTCCCCTGGAGCAGGGAAGGCTCCAGGGAGAGCTCCCAGCACATGGCAGGGCCTGCAGGGGCTCCAGCAGAGCTGCAGAGGGACTGGGGACAAGGCCTGCAGGGACAGCACCCAGGGAATGGCTCCCACTGCCAGAGGGCAGCCATGGGTGGCATCTTGGCAATGAGCAATTCCTGCCTGGGCTGGCATTGCCAGAGCAGCTGGGGCTGCCCCTGATCCCTGCAGTGCCCAAGGCCAGGCTGGAGCAGCCTGGGATGGTGGGACCGGAATGGGATGGGCTTGAAGGGCCCTTCCCACCCAAACCATTCTGGGATTTGGGACACTCAGAATCCATCCCCAGGGATTTTTATGGAAGTTGGGGATGGCAAAGGGAAGGGAGACCCTTCCTGGAGTGCTGAGGTTCCCAGTGAAGCCCCCAGATCTCAAAATTCCTTCCTGGAGAGGAGTCGGGGGGGGGGATGGATCCAATGGCAGGCTGGGAGAGCTGGGAATGGAGGGAATTCCCTGGAGAGGGAGCCTGGGGTGGGATTTTGGGAAGGGATTCCCAGAGCAGCTGGGGCTGCCCCTGATCCCTGCAATGGCCAAGGTTGGACACTGGGGCTGGAGCAGCCTGGGACAGGGGGAGGTGTCCCTGCCATGGCAGGGGTGGCACTGGGTGACCTTGAAGGCCCCTTCCCACCCAAACCATTCCATGATTCCCTGATTCCCTGATTTGATACCAAAATCTCTCAGGAACACATAAATCCATATTAACACACATCAAGTGAAGGCTCCATTCACTGTCAGTGACAGCACAGAAATGTTTAAAAAATAATAATTAAAAAACCCCATTTTTCCTGTCAATTCTTCCACACTTTCCCCACACAAAACGCCCCAAATTTTTGAGAACCAACCCTCAGAGTTTATTCAAACGAGGCCCTGATTTCTCTCTGGCCTCCAGATGGTTCCATTCCTCAGGGCCTCACAAACCAGAGATTCATTTCTGCCCAAACTCCAAGCAGGGACAACAATTCCCTGTCCCACACATCCCCAGATGGCCTCTCCACAGGATTCCTCCTCCATCACCTTGCAAATTTTATTTTTCCATCAGCCTCACCTTGTGCTGAAAGCTTGGAAGCCTCATCTCCTATTAATAAATATTTAGGAACTGTAGAAATAAATAAGGCAGCTGACTCTAATGTTAATCCAGTTGTCTGTCCTTGACATTTTTCCTGACTTTTAAATGTTTAATTAGGTTATTAATAGCATGGAGGCTTCGTTAGACCTCTGGTTAATCAGGTACAGCTCGGAGCTGGAAATGCAAAATGCTGGGCCAGAGGTGCACAGAAAATTCTGGGAACAAAAGGGATTTGGGGATGGATCCTTTAAAAAATAGAAAATTCCTAAGGGTCCAGTTCATTAGAGCTGTGCTTCTTATTTTATTTTTTTTCCTTTGCAAACATGAGTGGAATTTCTTATTTAATTTTTTTGCTTTGCAAACATGAGTGGAATAAAGGAGTTTTTGGTACAGCAAGGGAGAATTCACAGGTTTTGAAGTGTTCCTCCCAAATGTCAGAACTTTCTGCTCTATTCAAATTTAGAAAAGAAAAGCTCAAGGGGAGAGAAAGCTGAGGAGAAAGAAAGAAAGAAGAAGAAAAGAAAGAAGAAGGAAAGAAAGAAGAAAAGGGGAAGGAAAGGGGAAGGAAAGGGGAAGGAAAGGGGAAGAAAAGGGGAAGAAAAGGAAGAAGAAAAGGAAGAAGAAAAGGGAGAAGAAAAGGAAGAAGAAAAGGACGGGAGAAAGAAAAAAAGAAGGAAGAACGAAGAAAGGAGAAAGAAGGAGAATAATAAAATAACAATAACAATAATAATAATAATAGCAACTGCATTTTATTCTAATTAATTCTAATTTTTAAAGAAAATGCTCAGCTAAAATCTCTTTCCATCACTTCCACCTGGCTAATTAACAAAGACAAGCAGTGTTATCAATAGTGATATCAGCCCCTCAGAACCCCAAACGAGGAACACGCTCACATTTAATGAGATTTAGCTTTGGCCAGAGCAGATTCCCAAGGGAATTCCTGGTGGACTTTTAAACAAAGCAGGAATTCAGGGCACACACTGTTGGAGGGACTTGCTGTGGCTCAAATTTGGAGAAAAAAAGCATCAAAGTATTGACAAAGTATTTAGAAAACAGCTCCTCGCACTCCTAGGGCTCCTTTCAGAACATTTCCATGGGATTTGGCCAATCTGAGTTCATCTTCCCCACTAAAAATGAAACTAAATTCCAATTTATTGCCACTGAGAGCTCCTGGAGGTATCCTAGCTGTGAAATATAATTTTATTAACATTATTTGAATATATTATTCAAAACATGCTAGATGTGAACACCCTCCCTGAATGCTGCAGCAGCCAAGGGCCAATCTGAGCTGGTATTTTCTACATCCAGTTTTACAGAATAGAAGAAAAACCTTTAAATTTTTTAAAAGGATTGGAAAAAGAATATTTCAATTCCTGATAAGGGATTCATTCACTTCACTTCAAATATTTATGTGGGTGCTTAAAACTAATGTAGCCAATAGGAGCTCTGTAAAGGTTTTTTGGGATTTATTTTTGATGTTCCATTAAATATTTTTCACTTCTTATTACAAAGTAAAAGCTGTTTAAAAGCAGCCAGGTGCTTTCGGAGCCACTGGATTGCATTAAAAATAGGTTTGGGTTGTGTTTCTGTGCAACATTTGTATTATTAAATTTGAAAATTTATAGTATTTGTATTATTAACTTTGAAAATGTATAGTAATTGTATTATTAATTTTGAAAGTGTATAGTATCGCAGATATTTCTTATAATTTGTTATGTAATTATCTTCATATTGAATATATTTATAAGAAATTATTATTATATAATAGTATAAAAAATAATACATATATTATATATAATGCATATTAGACATAATATATTATATATATTATATGTGTTATAAAAATATTTCATTTATAAAATATATAACATATAGTATATATAATATTTATTATATATATGGCATTATATAATACATAATATATAATTAAAATAATATCTAATATCTAATATAACATCTAATATAATGTATATGATGTATGATATATAATATATAATATATATCAAATACAATATATAAAATATAATATAACATCATATTATATTATATAATTATACTAGATTATATAATTGTACTATATTGTATAATATAACATTACATTATAATACATATTATATTATACTACATTACATATTACATATTACATTATATATTATATTGCATTATATTATATTATATTATATTACATTACATTATATATATTAGACATAGTATATTATATATATTATATGTGTTATATAAAATATTTTATTTATAAGATATATAGCATATAATATATATTACATTTATTATATATGATATTATATCATATATAATAATATATAATATATAATATAACATATAATGTATATGTTATACTATGATATAATATGATACATAATAGGATATATAATATAGTATATAATATATAATATATAATATATAATATATTATATATTATATATTATATATTATATATTATATATTATATATATCAAATACAATATAACATCATAGCATATTATATAATTATACTATATTATATAATTATACTATATTGTATAATATAACATTACATTATATTACATATTATATTATATTACACTACATTACATAATACTTATATTACATATTGTAGTGTAATATATTATATTACACTACAATATGTAATACTTATATTATATTATATTATATTATATTATATTATATTATATGACTTTATATTATATGACATTATATTACATTATATGACATTATATTATATGACATTATATTATATGACATTATATTATATTATATGACATTATATTATATGACATTATGCGACATTATATAATATATAATATAAAATAATATACAATAAAATATATACTATAAATTAATATATAATGCCAAAAATACTATTTCTTATCTTCATATTTACACTATTCTATTTATTATTTCCATCACGGCATTGCTCTCTGGGTAAGAGGCAGGCAGGAAAGCCTCAGAATGGATTTTCCTTACCAGGTTGAGGACCCTGATGGGCAGGTTGTGCAGGCCCCTGATGGCAGCGAGCCTGTTGTGTGACAGTCCCAGCTGGCTCAGGCTGTGACACTGCTCCAGCCCTCGGATCTCCTCGATCTCGTTGTCTGTGCATGGCTCTCAGGAGAAAAACATGAGCTGAACACAAACCCTGAGCGCTAATGAGGTGATAAATTCACAAATTGGGGTTGTGGGCTGGGGAGCTGGACAGGAAAGGATTTATCCTGAAGGGTTTTAAATCCCACTGCTGCTACAGAAATTATTCAAGTTATAATTTTATGGGGTTATTTTAGTTGAAGTTATTCCTGTTGTGTCCTGGCCATCTGTCCTGAGAGGAGAAAGTGTATTTTAAATGAACGTCACAGTTAAAGACAGCAGCACAAGTAATTAGAATTCCTCTCAGGGAACCCCAACATTACCAGAACTCCTCAAATTCCCTAAACAAAGAACTTTTGACAACAAATCCAGCTCCAATTCCTCCCTGAAATGGATGAAGTGAGAGGAGCCTGACCCTGATCTGCCCAAAATCAGGTAAAACTCTGGGACTCTTTGGTGACTGGAATTAATCAGAAGTTTGAATAAAGAAAAATTAAAGTTTAAGCCACGAGCATCAATGTGAAGCAGCAAATTGCTCAGCACTGAATAATAATAAATTCAATTTTTGCCTTTTAATGACTCACTATAAAGCTTTGTCACTTCTTTTTGGCCAAGCTGTGTCTCTCTCTGGTTGGACAATTCCTCCCTTTGGAAAGCTCTCAGGTGTGCACAAAAAAAAGGAGAAAATTACTTTAAAATGTGCATCAAAATTCACTAAAAATGGTGAGGAAAGGTGAGCCTGTCACTGGGAAAGGGATGGGAAACGTTTCTGCTGCTGCAGGAGATTTCAGAGGGGATTAAAATCTGATTAACAATCAGATTAAAAATCAATTTATCAGATTAACAATCTGATTAAAAATTTGATTGTTCTGTCAGGTGAGGAGAGTTTGAGGCAGATTGGGGCCACTGAATTCTGAATTTCCAGTCCTGCCATCATTTTCCTCTTTTTTAGGGGTTTCTCCTATCTATATAAAAACATTTTTTATCCCCATTTCACCAAATGAAGGAATGTAAGGCAGCACAAAACCAAACCAAAAACTACACATCAGCTCCACAGGACAAATATTCAATTTAATATTTTTTAAAATTTTCTCCCCTTTTTCATTTTGCTGGAGGTGTTTTTACTGCATGGTGGAAAATTAGGATTGCGAAAGAAAAGTGGTTTGGTGCCATTTTGTGACAGGATTTGTGTCACCTGCATGCTTTGTAGAGTGGGAAGAACACAAATATTTTTTTTTTCAATAAAAAACTATTTTAATAAATAATGTAATATGATATATATAATATTTATTTATATAATACTATATTTATTATATATATTTCTTTTAGATAGATTTATTTTAATATATGTAATTTAAATTTTATCTTTAAATTATATAATATATAATATATAATATATAATATATAATATATAATATATAATACATTATACATTATTGTATTACATAAAGTATAATCACATTATATATATTCATGTAGTATATGTTATATTTTAACACCATCAATGCTGAAGTAAATTAAGCTCAGTCTCAGCACCAGAATTACAATTTTATCTCACTTCTAAGGACAAACTGACATGAAGGGGAAAATACAAAGAAAACAGATATTTATCTGAAGAAATAAATAAATCAATTTTTCTCCCATTTAAGATTCCCCAAAGGATACAATCCAGCAGGAGCTTGGTAAGTGAGTGGTATTCTGATAAATCTTTCATTTTTGGGATTTGATTGTGTGAAAAATCTACTTCCTAAAGGAAAAAAAAAAAGAGAGGAATTTGGGATTATTTCTTCACCATTTACTCTGGCTGGGAGTTTGTCCCACACTCCCACCACATGCAGGGGTTCAGTGAGGAAGAATATAAATATAAATATAAATATAAATATAAATATAAATATAAATATAAATACAAATATAAATATAACTCAGACCCAAAGATTTGGGAAAGGAAAATGGAAAAGGAAAATGTGAACTGAGGTAAGAAAGAAGAATAAAAAAGGAATAAAATTTGACTTGTTCAAATACATCTAACTTAGATTCAGAAAATGGATTTGAATTTCAAACTTCAATTTTTTTTCAGACTTACCCTGAGGTTTTTGGGTGCTTTAAAATTGAAATAAGTGGTCAGTTCATTATTGGAAGCATTCAGCTCTACTAAATAAGGCATGTGACTGACACAGGAAAGATCTAGAAAAGAAACAAAATGTCAAATGCTGGGCCTGAACGCAAAGATGACCCCAGCAAAATGTGATAATTACATCCTGCAGCAATTAAGAGTTAATTTGGAGCTGCATGTGCAGAAAGTGATGCCTGAAATGCAGAAATCAGATCTATTAACACCTTCTCCTAGAGGGGAAAAAAACTGGTTTATAAACCATAAAGAATAAATACCCAAGTCAGACATTTAATTTTCATTATGCCTTGAAACAAGATTTTTTTTTAATATTTTTAGATATCATTATGATAATATAACATATTATAATATTAATATAATACAATAAAGCAATATATTATACTATAATATAATATATTATAATGTATTACATTATTAATATAATATACTAATATAATGTTGTAAAATAATATTATAACATAATATAATAATTGCATAATATAATATTATATAATACAATATAATATATAATATATAATAGATAATACATAATAGATAATACATAACATATAACATATAATAATATAATATAATATAATATAATATAATATAATATAATATAATAATATAGCATAATATTCTAATGCAATACAATAAAATACATATTTAATATATTATTTTAACATTTTAATATAATTTACTTTTTTCTATTTTTATACTTTTTATTTTTTCTATTTTCTATTTAAATATTTTAATATGTTATATATTTATACATTTTTTATATTTTATATATTTTTATATTTTCTATATTTTGTATATTTATATATTTTAAATTTTTTATTTTTATCTCCACCTCTAGAATGACAGATTGACTCTGGCCTGAGTTCTCAATTAGTGGAGCAAAGCATTTAGGGCAGGGCTGAGGAGTAAATGAGTGGTTGCTATGGAAAAGTCCCTGCTCTGTTCATATCTGTCCCCCACAGAAAAAATAAAAATCTCTTATTAAAATGAGCAGGGAGAGGAGCTGCTTCACAAAAGTGCTGCTATTCTTGGACTCCAGTGAAAGGAACTTGAGAGAAATAATGTGCTGGCCCCAGCACAGCTTATTCCACTTGATGTAAATTAAAAAATAATATAGAGAGAGGGAAGGAGCAGCTGGTGGAGTTCATCCCAGTCTCCATTTGGCACCTTTCTAAATGTAAAAAGTGAATTTTTTACCTTTTGTCACCCATGGAAAACCCTGACAAGGGAAAACCAAACCAAGCATAACTTGAATATTCTGCCACCTGCAGGTGTCAAATCCCCATCTTGTCACTGTCACATTTTCTGAAAAACCCCCTTGCCCAGGATTTTCTCTCGTGGGAAGCTGAGCAGCCTCAGAGAAAAAGGAAAACAATATTATCTCATTTGCTTCTCCTGTGTTTGGCTGCTTTGCAATGGGGTTGGAGATTGTTTATCCAACAGGCGATTGTTTCATTGGATTCATGGGAATTGTTTTAATTAATGACCAATCAGTGCCAAGCTGTGTCAGGGCTCTGGAAGGAGTCACGAGTTCTCATTATTATTTTTCATCCTTCTGTCTGTATCCTTTCTGTATTCTATAGTAGAGTATAGTATAGTATAGTATAATATAATATAATATAATATAATATAATATAATATAACATAATATAATATAATGTAATGTAATGTAATGTAATGTAATGTATTGTAATGTAATGTAATATAATGTACTGTATTGCATTATATTATATTACATTCACATAATGAAATTATATATTAATATATGTAATTATATATTGTATAAATATCTTTTAAAATTATCGAATTATATATTATATAATTATATATAATTTAATTATATAATTTTATATAATAAAATGTAATGTAATATAATATAATACAATATGATGTAATGTAATGCAATGTAATGTAATGCAATGTGTTGTAATGCAATATAATATAATATAATATAATATAATATAATATGATATGATATGATATGATATAATATAATATAATATAATATAATATAATATAATATAACATAGTATAACGTAATATAATGTATTATATTACATTATATTATACTACATTAATACAATGTAATTATGTATTAATATATGTAATTAGATATTATATATTATATAAAATATCTTATAAAATTATCTAATGATATATATTATGTACTAATATAATTTAATTATATTATATATATAATTAGATATTTTTATATAATACAATGCAATGTAATGTAACGCAATGTAATGCAATGCAATGCAGTGCAATACAATGCAATGTAATGCAATGCAATGCAATGTAATGCAATGCAATGTAATGTAATGTAATAATAAATGAGATTTCTAAGAACAAGGAGTCAGATTCATCATTCCTGCCTGAAATGGGGGACCCCAAAAATGCCAGACCCCTTCACCTTGATATCTGCTGGGGTAATAAACTGAGAATTTGAGCTCCATGTTCTCTCCACGTGCTGCTCTTAATGGGCCGTGGAGATTTTGGGATTTTGGAGCAGATTTTGGGATTTTGGAGGAGATCAAGCCTGGCTCTGTGCAATGTTTGACACCATTAAATGTCAGCCAGGCTTTGTGACACTAAAACTCCGTGCTCCAGTGAACTTCTCATCTGAAACAGCTTCACAGGGCAGGAATTTGTGGTTTATTTACTCCATACCATTAATTTTATTGGAGGAAAGCTCCATTTTCTGCAGGTGAATGTATCCGGAGAGAATGCTGATGTCACTCAGCCCACGACCCTGGAAAAGGGAAAGGATTTTAATCACAATTTTAATAACTGGTTAATAACTCAGCTCACCCAAAGTCCCTCCAGCTGCAGCAGGACAAGGTGACATTACAAAAAGTGATGGCGGAGCAGCCAGAAATGGAGAAAATGCCAAAATAAAAGACTTTAAAACAAAACAACCACTTCAACTTCCTAAATGCAGCATTCCTGGTGATTTACACATTCCTCTACTTTTTTTTCCTCCAGCTGACTGAAGGAGGAAGATACATTTTTCACACCTAAGAACTGAATAAGGGAAAAATAATAACATAAAATATAATAATAATAACAATAACCATAATCCTCATATAATACAAATATAATAATACATATTATATTATTATCATAATATAATTACTATATTTTAATACAATATAATAGAATATAACGTAATAATATAAATATACTATTTTATAACAAAATATAATAATATAATAATATTCTATAAATATAATAATAATAATCATCATCATAATGATCAAAATTTTAAAATCTCAGTGCTGATGCTACTACATTAAAAAAAACCCAACAAAATATATATAAGACAAAAATCTGCCTCTTGACATCTTGTTTTTTAATAAGTCTTTTTTTCCCAACTATTTGCTGGTGAAAAAAAGGCAAATAATATTATATATATATATATATATATATATATATATAATATTATATATAATAATATTATATACATATCTATATTCTATATATAATTTATTTTTATATTTTTATAGATATTTCTATATATAATATTACATAGAACATACATGTCTACTTTTATATATAATTTTTATAGTTTTATATCTATTATATATAATAGTATATAAAAGATATATTTATATCTTATACAGAATTAATTTTTAATTTTTATCTCTATTTTAGATATATGTAATATTATATAAAATATATCTTTATATTTTTATATATATTTGAATTTATGTGTTTATATCTATTATATGTATAATACTATATGAAATCTATATTTATATTTTCATATATAATTGGTTTTTATATTTTTATATCTATTATATATATAATATTATATTAAATCTATGTATTTATTTCATACATAATTGAGGTTTTATATTTTTATACTATTGTATATATTCTATTCTATTCTATTCTATTCTATTTACATTAATATATGTAATTGATTTTTACATTTTAATATTTAAAAATATTTTAATATATTATTTTTATGTCCAAAAAAAGGGAATATTTGTGCAGAAAAGCACCTTAAAGTGATGGTTTTTAGCTGGTACTCACTGGCAGTGACAGGTGAAGATAAACGTACTCAGTGCCGGGGGCGGAGCGGCCGAAGGTGTGGAGCCCCTCAGCGGCTGTGTCTTCATCCAACACCTCCTGCAAGTGACCCTAAAAACACCAGGAAAAGGGAAAAAAATGGATTTAGGGGAGATTTATGAATGGAAATTCCCACTGGGATAACCCAGAGGGCGCTGGGTTTCAGGTGGGAACAGGGCTGATAAAAGTCCTCTGTCACTGGGATATTTTATCAAAAATTCCTTTTGCCAGGATGTTTTCTCCTGGGAAGCTGGGAAACTTCAGCTTTTCCATGTTTTGTTACTTTGGAATGTGATTTGGAGAATTGTTTACCTAGTGTGTGAATTGTTTTTAATTAATGGCCAATCACAGCCAGCTGTGTCAGGACTCTGGTCAGTCACAGGATTTTATTATGCATTCTTTGCTAGCGTTCTGATGAAATCCTTCCTCTATAGTTTAGTATAGTTTTAGTCTATCATTTTCTTTTAATACAATATATATAATAAAATAATAAATCAGCCTTCTGAAACATGGAGTCAAGATTCCCATCTCTTCCCTCATCTGTGTCATTGTCTCATTTTGTGGAAAATCCCTTTGCCCAGGATTTCTTCTCCTGGGAAGCAGAGAAGCCCCAGAGAAAAAGGAAAACAATATTATCTCATTTGCTTCTCCTGTGTTTGGCTGCTTTGGAATGTGGTTGGAGATTGTTTATCCAACAGGTGATTGTTTCATTGGTTTCATGTGAATTGTTTTAATTAATGGCCAATTATGGTCAGGCTGTGTGGGGCTCTGAGGAGCCAGTCATGAGTTTTTCATTATTATCTTATTAAGCCTTCTGTCTTCTTTAGTATAATTTTAGTATATAATTTTCTTTTAATATAATATATATATCAGAAAATAATAAATCAGCCTTCTGAGAACATGGAGTCAAGATTCTCATCTCTTCCCTCATCTGTGTCACTGCCATATTTTCTGGAAAAATCCCTTTACCCAGGAATCTTCTCCTAGGAAGCCTCAGAGAAAAAGGAAAACAATATTATCTCATTTGCTTCTCCTGTGTTTTGCTGCTTTGGAATGTGGTTGGAGATTGTTTATCCAACAGGGGATTGTTTGATTGGTTTCATGTGAATTGTTTTAATTAATGGCCAATTATGGTGAGGCTGTGTGGGGCTCTGAGGAGCCAGTCACGAGTTTTTATTATGATCTTATGAAGCCTTCTGTCTGTATCCTTTCTGTATTCTTTAGTATAGTTTTAGTATATAATTTTCTTTTCATATAATATATATCAGAAAATAATAAATCAGCCTTCTGAAACATGGAGTCAGATTCTCATCTCTTCCCTTATCTGTGTCACATTCATATTTTCTGGAAAATCCCTTTGCCCAGGATTCTTCTCCTGGGACGCTTATAGGCCTCAGAGAAAAAGGAAAACAATATTATCTCATTTGCTTCTCCTGTGTTTTGCTGCTTTGGAATGTGGTTGGAGATTGTTGGATACTTTGGAGAAAGAGAACTGTGAAAGAGGGAACCCATCAGGGGTAATTTTAGATTATTTGCTTTAAGGCATTTACAGCATGGTGTGGCTAAAGCTGATAGACCAAGAAACAGTTTTAATGTAATAAAGAAATAATTGGCTTCTGATTGTGATGGTGTGAATTATAACATCTGTATTGTCTCATCCTTCACGTGAGACTGAAAATAGAATAAAAGTTTCTAAAACATCTCTCAGCTGCCCCATCTCTAGGTCAGAAAAGAGCTTAATCCAACAGAGACCAAGATAAATAATAGAATAATTTCATTATAGCACCTACATGTTATAGCAAGGGAGAGCACAGAATAATTTCCAAAATTACGAGGTGATATTTTGTGATGTTGGGATTTAAATCTGGGCAGGGCAGGGAGAGAAAATTCCCACGTGTCCATGGGGTTTATTGAAGCTCAGGCTGGGAATTTAAGCAGGAAATTGCGTTAATTTAGCCATACATATGTCAGTTTATCCTTTATTTTATATGGCCAGGAGCACTTGGCAGTGCTGGGTTAATGGCTGGAATTGACAATTTTCAAATTTTTTTTTCCCAATCTAATTGATTTTGAGATACAGAGGGAGAATCCATGAGGATCCCGGACACCACGGCGAAAGGAGGGACCCCAAAAAAAGCAGAAATTAGAGATGCCGCCCTTCTTCCTCCAAAATCCACACCGAGGAGGGAAAGAGCAGCTCCTTCCCATGCCCGCACCCCTCCCCACACAGCCCTGGGCCGAACCTCTGAGCGCTCCGACTCTTCCTCCTCGCCCTCCTCCTCCTGCTCATCCTCGCCGTCAGGGGCGCCGGGCCGCGGCTTCTCCTGGAGCAACCCCTCAGCGAGCGCCTGCGGCGGCTCCTCAGGAGGGGGAAGCGGCTCTCCGGGGCTGCTTTCTGTGCCGTTCTCCTCGCCGCCCGCCATGAGCTGTGATAAGGAGAGAGGAGATGGAGAAAACTTCACTATCGGCGCTGTCCGCGCTCATGCCAGGCCGCCGCCATTTGTTTACGCGTTGCTATGGAAACGGGAAGAACAGGTGAATGGCTCCAACCGCCCCGACAGCCAATAGGAGCGCAGAGCGTGCAGCGGGGCAGCATGGGAGTTGTAGTTCGCATGCCTGAGGGAGACCTTAGCCTCACTCCCGCCTCGAGGCGCACAACAAAATTATAAACGTTATTGTGAAAAATGCCTATTTTATTATTGGCTTTTCGCAAATATTCAAATGAATATTATATGTGTTGTGTTAGAAAGTGATGCTGTGTTAATTTTCTTAAGTACTGTGTTAAATATAATTTTAGGTTATAACATAGAGTTAAAATAGAAACTATGCTATGTAGGATGCTTTTTTTTCTGAAGAAAGGACTCGCACTGAGATAGCAGCCACAGGACACCTGAATCTTTCAGAGAAAGCGAATTTATTGTCCCATTATCAGGAGAAATGAGCTTCCTGCCTCATTTGGGCAGGATGACACTGTTAGGATTCAGAGGAAGAAGCTGACACTGACCAGCCAGAATCCTGTATTTGAATGGAATTTATGCATCATGTATGAGATGTATGAATATGCAACAGGTTATTGTTTTTAAGGGTTAATCCTCTGTTAACGTGGGTCCTTCTTTGGGCTTATTTCGCCCAGAAAGAGGTACCCGGACTATCTGTAGCTCTTTGTTTCTATTGTCTCACACTGTCCTAATCCAAATTGTCCAAATTATTATTACTCTAAGTACATTGCTATTTCTATAACAATTTTATTACTAATAAACTTTTAAAAATTTAAAAAAATGTTTTACAAAAAACATTAGGTTTGCTGATAAATGAAATTAGACATTGAAAGATGAAAGAAACAATGGCCAAGAAAAACCCCTAAATTCCACAAGAATTAAAAATGAAAAGGGAGGGTTGTACATTAGAGGGAAATCTCTGGTATCAGGTGTTTTGGGAAGTCTGAACCTCCCAAGTACCTCAGAAATGGGGAAAGAGAGAAGGGAAATGCAGCTGGGAAATTGGGATAAAAAGGAGGCTGTGTCCTCCAAAAATCTGAGACACCCCAGGGGAATGCCCTGTGGCCTCTCCCTTTATTCAAATAAAGTAAAAAGGACTCCTCTGTCTCCTTTTTGGACATAAGCCTCTGGTGTTTGTGGATTAATTTTCCTAACACATCCCATTGGGAAGGACCAAAAATAGCATAAAAGAGGGATTTCAGGGCAAAAAGATGGAAGGGAAAACACTTCTTCTTGTTAGGGATCAGTAAATGGCTGGGTCTCTTCTCCTGCCTGAAGGGATGACTTGAAGTGAGTTTTGTGCCTCCAATTGCACTGGAGCAGACCTGGGAATATTATTTTTATAGCTATATATCTATATCTATGTATATAAATGTATATACACACAGAGAGAAATATAAATTAGATTTCTGTTATTCCACTTTCTTTCACATCACACCATTAACGCTCCATAGTTGGTGAAATACTATTTTTCCTTAAGAGAAAGGTACAATTTCAGAACTGCTGGGTGGAAAAAATAAAATCTATATAATTTTGCCAGATTTTTGGGAAATAATGAGAGATGAGACTGCCACAGCAGGGGAAAGCAAAATTACAGTTTTTGAGATATCTTTGTGTGTTATTCTGTTTTTATATCACGTGTATCTTACAGACAGCAATCTGCTCCTAATACAGATTTGAAATACAGATGCTAAAGATATTTGAGTTTTTGGGTCTAACTTCCACCTTTTTTTTTTTTCCACATTGCAGAATGGGGTAAACTGAGAATGAAAAGGCAGAAAATAAAGGCGAAAGGAGGAGGAGATGTCTCCAAATACAAATCCCTGTAAAGATAAACATGGGGAAAGAACTTATGCATGTGGTGAAACATTTTAATATTGGGGATGGGGTTATTGCAGCGAATTTCCGTTGTTGGTAAAGTAACATCTCATCTTTGAATGAGGTGATTATTGCAAAGAAAAAAATGAAGAGGGAGATATAAAAACTCCTTATGGACATTGCTCGCTGACTTTTATCTCTGTGCTTCAGGGAAACATTATGATAAGTGCAATAAAGCCACCCCAAATTACCTCCTTTTATTATCTCCCTGGTCATAAATGCTCAAACCCTTAATGGGATTTATTCCTTCTCCACTGAGCAGCCCCTGGCAGTGAAGGGAAAGGCAGGAGAGCTCAGAAAGGACAGAAAACCCTGCAAGGGAAGGGGGAGATCTGTCTGGGGCTGGGGTTGGGAGTGATGCCTTGAGTTTTAGATTTCATATTTTCCACATTCTGCATTAGTGTGTGACTCTGAACTCCATATAAAGCGTCAGCAAGTTGTCCTCACAGCTCAGTCACACAGAACATTCCTTTTCCAGCCCCAGAACCAAGGACAGCTTGGATTTTGGGCAACTTCAGGCCCAAAAAAGTGCAAAAATAGCAAATTGAGGAGAGCAATCTGGGAGGATGGGACTGCAGAACCTGGAGCTGGAATTGGACAATTAAAAGGATTTTTCCAGAAAACATGACAGTGACAATTTGTCCTTGGTGCCCAGCTGGAGCAGGAATTGTTTTCTCTCGGTGCTCTGTGCACAGAGCTCACCATCCCATAATATGAAGTTCAACCCACCCACTAAAGCAGCACAGAATGGGAAAAATATAAAAGCTAAACTCTGAGGCATCAATAGGACACAGGTGGGTGAGGTGTTTCCCCAAATATTCCCTCTCATTTTGAATTTCAAACCGTGTTTGGCTCCGGTGTGAAATATTCCCCACATTCTCCTGGCTGTGGAACAGCAAACACCGAATGCCCATTAAAACAACCCCAAAACCCAGAGCTGCAGCTGTAAATCCGCAGTCGTTGAGCTCATAAAACATCCCCACATTGACAGAGGAGCCCTCCCTACCCAGGAGTGTCCATGGCCAACACTGGCCCTGCTCCCTCCCCTGGCTGTGGCTGGGGCAGCCCCAGAGGGGCTCTGGCTGTGCCAAACCCATTTCATGCTGCAGCTCAGCAGAGGAAATCACAAACACCAAAATCCAGGGCCTGAACAGTCCAATTTTCTCCCCTGATTGCCGCCGTGCCTCAGCTCAGCAGAGTAAATAATGAACACCGATGTGTTACGGTGGTCACAGGGGTCTTATGTGGAAGGAAAGAGATGAGGATTTGACTCTGTATTTCAGAGGGCTTGATTAATTATTTTATGATATATATTACATTAAAACTATACTAAAAATAATAGAAGGAAAGGTTCTCAGAAGGCCGGCTAAGCTAAGAATAGAAAAGCAAGAATGATAACAAAGGCAGCTGTCCCAGACTCTCTGTCTGAGCCAGCTGACTGTGATTGGTCATTAATTACAAACAACCACATGAGACCAATCCCAGACCCCCTGTTGCATTCCACAGCAGCAGATAACCATTGTTTACATTTTGTTCCTTCTCAGCTTCTCAGAAGGAAAAAATCTCAAAGAAAGGATTTTCATAAAAAGATGTCTGCGACACCGATGCAATGAACTTCCCAGGAAGTGACTCCTGATGAGTTTTCACAGGTCATCCAAAAGCAAATTTAATGATTAGATGCTGGCTGTGGCCACCTCAGGTGTTTTTTGTTCCTGGCTCGGTGGTTAGATCCAATCAGCAAAGGAAGGAATGGAAAATAAAGTAAAATACCTCATTGCTGAGCACGCTCCCTGCTCAGTGCAAAAGCCAGAGCTTGAACTGCAGGGTATGGGCAGCTCCAGCTCGGATTAGGATGGAATCCCAATTTCCCGGCCAGGAACGAGAGAACAGTGCCAGCCCACCAAGGATTGTGTCCTGGAGAGCAATGTTGGCTTCCCTGGATCTCAGCTTCCTTTGGAGTTTATCATGTTTGGAGCACAGAGTGCTCAGGGCACCACATTCCCTGTTCTGCACTCAGCCTTGGACATCCAGGCCCGTGTGGCTCCTGGGGTATCCCTGATGTGGGTGTTTGAAGTGTGGTGGGATGAATCCTTGGGGAATGAACTCCTGGAATTGCAGCACAGGCAGCTTGGTGGCCAAGGTCTGCGGTGGTGAGCGGGGTTTGTGTGTCACAGGGACCCCAAAGCCTCAGGATGGGTGTCCATCCATCCATCCATCATCCATCCATCATCCATCCATCCATCCATCCATTCATCCATCCATCATCCATCCATCATCCATCCATCCATCCATCCATCCATCATCCATCCATCATCCATCCATCATCCATCCATCCATCCATCCATCCATCCATCTATCCATCATCCATCCATCATCCATCCATCCATCATCCATCCATCATCCATCCATCATCCATCCATCCATCATCCATCCATCCATCCATCCATCCATCCATCTATCCATCATCCATCCATCATCCATCCATCCATCATCCATCCATCCATCCATCCATCATCCATCCATCCATCCATCATCCATCCATCCATCCATCCATCATCCATCCATCCATCCATCCATCCATCATCCATCCATCATCCATCCATCCATCCATCCATCCATCATCCATCCATCCATCCATCCATCCATCATCCATCCATCATCCATCCATCCATCCATCCATCCATCATCCATCCATCCATCCATCCATCCATCCATCATCCATCCATCCATCCATCCATCATCCATCCATCCATCTATCCATCATCCATCCATCATCCATCCATCCATCATCCATCCATCCATCCATCCATCCATCCATCATCCATCCATCCATCCATCCATCCATCATCCATCCATCCATCCATCCATCCATCTATCCATCATCCATCCATCATCCATCCATCCATCATCCATCCATCCATCCATCCATCCATCCATCCATCCATCTATCCATCATCCATCCATCCATCATCCATCCATCCATCCATCCATTCATCCATCCATCTATCCATCCATCCATCCATCATCCATCCATCCTCCATCATCCA